AAATATATCTGGCTCTTGGTGTTGTTGTTTTTTTTAAAGACATCCCTCAACCACTGGAGGAGTATATGTATATGTCTTCAACCAATTTTCCCTATATTTGAATAACCAAAGGAACAGGCTGCCTTTGTTACAATATCCAGTTCTGAAGGCATACTAATCACCACTAAAGTTGATTGGTGCAGGAGCATTTGCAGACTTGGTGACTCTTCTCTGGAGGGTGGATTCCCCCTACATTTTGTTAGCCTTTTAAATGGGCAGCAGCATACTAGAATCATAGAATCATAGAGTTGGAAGACACCACAAAGGCCATCCAGTCCAACCCCCCTGCCATGCAGGAACTCAAAATCAAAGCATCCCCAACAGATGGCCATCCAGCCTCTGTTTAAAGATCTCCAAAGAAGGAGACTCCACCACACTCCGAGGGAGTGTGTTCCACTGTCAAACAGCTCTCACTGTCAGGAAGTTCCTCCTAATAGTGAGGTGGAATCTCTTTTCCTGGAGCTTGCACTCATTGCTCCAGGTCTTGTTCTCTAGAGCAGCAGAAAACAAGCTAGCACCCCTCTCAATATGACATCCCTTCAAATATTTAAAGAGAGTTATCATATCCCTTCTTAACCATCTCTTCTCCAGGCTAAACATACCCAGTCCCCTAAATTGTTCCTCATAGGGCATGGTTTCCAGACCCTTCACCATTTTAGTCGCCCTCCACTGGACACGCTCCAGTTTTTCAACAGCCTTTTTGAATTGTGGTGCCCAGAACTGGACACAGAATTCCAGGTGGGGCCTGTCTAGAAGCAGAAAACATTTGGCCTTCCAGTTCTTTTGAGTTTCACCTTTCAGAACCTCCAACAAGCTTAGGCCATGGTTAGGTATTATGGGAAATGTAGTCCAAAAGATCCAAAAAGTATAAAGTTCCAACACCCTGATATATGCTTGCTTCATACTGCATGTTATAAGTAAGATTGGCTACCCAGAAATAAAGTATGAGCCAGAAAGGCATAGAGAGTAAACAAATGAAGGGCAGGTCTACACTGGCAAGATTACTCCAGGCTGCTCCTGGAGTATTCTGGCCCCAAATTCACCCCTTACCTGCTCTCTTTTGCTGCAAGTGTTTGGCCCTCAAAGTGAACAACAGGCAGCTGCCTTCCCATGTGGTCCCTGTTCACCACCCGGTGCCATTGCTGAGGTCTCAATGCTGAGTATCTCATTCTGACCTCACAGCAACTTGTGCCTACAGCACCAGATGGTTCACGGAGACCATCAGCTTCCATCATCACTACAAAGAGAGCCAAAAACCTGCAACAAAATGTGAGTTTTTAAATTAGGGTTAGAGGGAGGAAGCCCCAAATGGGATGTGGGTGTCATGAAGACAGTCCAACCCGATTCAGGGTTTGGCCCTGCATCATTTAAACAGGACACAAGTGAGCCAGAGGTGATTTTGAGAAAATTCGTCTATGTAGACAACCCCTAAGAAAAAAGTTAGTTTTCCTGCTTATCTCACTGCCTTGCTCTCATCTTCCCCTCCAACAAGAATTGACTCCACCAACAAACCAATCAATAAGAAGCACTCCCAGAGGAAAGGCAACCACTGAAAGATTTAACACACTTCCACACATATCTTTCAAACCAATTAAATGAGCATGTAAAAATTAAACAGTGTGAAGAGAAGGCAGAATTCAGCCGGCCCTAAGACAACCAATAGGAATGAAGAATTCAACAGCCAATCAGATCCCAGCTATAAGGATAAGAGGGACAGGTAGAATCCGTTGGTGGCAGTTAGGGTTTTGGAATTGCAGTGAAAATGGAGGGATGTGTGAGAGTCTGGAATTGAGAGACCTAGGGGGGTTGCAGACTGCCAGAAATAGTGCAAATTGAGTCGACTTTTAGAATTAGGGTTAGGCTTAGGGAATCATGGGAACTGTATTTTATTGTGGCACCAGAGCTCTCTGACAGAGAAGGCTCAATGTCTCAGGAAAAAAAAAACAATTCCCATGATTCCCTAGCACTAACCCTAACCCTAAAAGTGGACTCAATTTGCACTATTTCTGGCAGTCTGCAACCCCCCTGAGATAACCAAACTCTGGAAGAGGGTTACAGGTATTTATTATCCTACGAGATACAATAGCCTTGGTGGCTGATAAGAATTGCCCAAAGAGGGACAGGGAAATCCTGGGGTGGTTAAAGAGTATATGTGAAAGAGAAAGGTATCAGTAACAAGGAAAACATATGGTTGGAAACAATTGTTTTTTACGAAAAATAAGTCACTACTAAGTCTAAGAATAAAAGAGTGCAAATGTAAGTAACACAAGGAAAAACTATAATAACAACTTCATATCAATGATACATTGTACAATTCTATTTTCAAATAAACTTCTGTTATTGTTTCAAGAAATACTTGGCTGGAGTTTTAAAACAGAAACACGCTACAGAATAAAACCTTACACAATATAAGTCGTACCCAAGAGTGTTGTTAATAAAAAGGGTGACAGAAGTGGGTGGAAAAGGCCCATGGTGCTGTCCGGAAAGAAACGTGTTGTTAAATAAAGTGGTTGTGATAAACAGTAGTATCTCACAAGGATGAACACAACTTAAATTTATGTCAAATATATTGCTGCCATAGATAGATAGGCAGACAGATGGACAGACAAATGATAGATAGAGATTGAATGCCCATGAAACCATCTCATGCCTCTGGGTTGGTTTTCCAAAAACCTTCAGGGCAAAAAGAAAACTGCAAGAGAAGTTTACATTATTCCAGCAAACCATGTAGTTCTTCAGTTTTTTAGGTAAATGGTAGCTGGTTTCAGAGTGGAGTTGCAGCATATCTAGAGACACAAAGGTAGGGCAGACATTAGTATTACTATGCATACTGAGGATTTTAATTTGTGCATATTAATAACACAAAATACTGGGCTGCCTCCTTGGGGGAAAATTAGGCTATTGTTTCAAGTAGATCATAGATCTTTTATTCCACACATTTTTCACTCTTCATCACACAGATTATTCATCAACTGATGTGCAGAACATTCAACCATGACATAAGTGTTGTTGAGAGCTATAACATGAATGAGAACATCCTGATTCAAGAGCATCTCTGAGTGTAAAAAGTGTTAAAAAAAATTAATGCCCCATCATTACCCATTGTGCCAATAGAACTCCAGTTTGGTTGGAAGTATTTTGCTAGAATAGAGACCACAAGAGGGTTGTCCTATACTTGAATGCAAAATATGATTTCTCATTACTTTGAGGGTTTTTTTTTTCAAATAAGCATTTTGAATTATTTCAATTATATACTTCTTTGCAGTTCTCTAAAAGAGTGAATACTGAAGAACATTCAATAAAACCAAAAGAGAAAATGGAGATACATCTCAAGATACTAGCAAAAAGGGTATTTTATTAGCTAAAAGCCAGACACATTTTAAGCCTCTGGATGCTCTTAGGGTCTGTGATGAGAAGGCAGAATTCAGCCAGCCCTAGAGACAATGGAGAATTCAACAGTGTTATGAATATTAAATACTGTTAAGATGTGCATGCTTTCTCATATGGCCCTCAAAACGGAACTGCACAAGCTGCCATGAATCTGAGGTGGATGCAGCACATACACCAAGGACCCTTTTTGCAGATCAGTTAGTTTAAAGGAGTTACAGATGAGAAACATTCATACCTTCTACAGCAGATTTATGGCTCAGGATGTTTTCCTGCCATGGCCAGATAAGACCCATTCTCGCCCCTAAAGATCTATCTACCTTCAAGGAGACCTTTGCTATGTAAATTCGGCACCTTTCGAAGTAGGGAAAAACAATCTTTGCCTAGGCTATTTTCAAGCTATTTAATGACCTCCAAATTCTTTGTTCAGTGTGCTGGTTAAGAATTCATGGTGTCTCCACATTACTCTGAATTCTGGCTCAGCTTCGACTCTTGCCATTTTTCCCATCCCATCCATGTGGCCTGAGTCCAACGCATCATTGGAACCAAGGAGCAGCCTCATCAGATAGTATCACCGTTAGAAAGGCTCTTGTCTATTCCATGCCAATTACTTTATTCCTGCAAATCTCCCAATATCCACATGACCAGAAGGAGGAGAGGCAGCCTGCAAAAGATACCCTCCACTTACCATCTTAACTAAGGACAGAAACATCAAAATGCAGGCATCTGACTAACATCTCCAATGTTTTCTCCTATTTGGTTTGTAACATCTTGCCTGATGAAGAAGCCAGTGGAACTTCAAAAGCTTACAACAAGTATATTGTGCATTTTGGTTGGCCAATGAAGGTATCACTGTTTGGTGGATTTTTGTTTGAATTTACTTTATTCCTGAGTTCTTGTGAGAGTGAGTGAGTGAGTGTATTAGTGTGTATGATCCCCAAATAATATATAATTATATTGAGGAAAACTTGCCTTTGACCATCTATTATTTCTAGCCCCCTCAGTATAAATTGGGATGTATCCTAGCTAATCAAGTAATCAAATGATTCCAAACACTGTTCGGAAACTTCTGCGGGTCCAGAATGCTGCACCCAGAATGTTGATTAGGGTCAGTTACAGGGAGCATATAACTTCCTTGTTGAAACAGCTTCACAGGTTACTGTTTTATTTTTTGGCACAACTCAAAGTGCTGGTCATTACTTGTAATGCCCTGATACAGCTTAGGTCCACACTATCAGAAAGACCATGTTTCCCCATACAAACCTGAAAGGATCCTAAGGTCTATATACCTTGGTCTACATGCCATACAGGAAAATAACAACAAAAATATTCACAAAAGATGGCTATCCAACATCTGTTTAAAGACCTCCAAAGATTGAGAACCTGCAGATCATGATGTTGTTGTTGTTGCTGCTGCTGCTGCTGTTGTTGTGTGCCTTCCAGTCATTTCCAATTTATGGCAACCCTAAATCATGGGATTTTCTTGGCAAGTTTCTTCGGGGGGGGGGGGTGCCATTGTTATCTTCTGAGACTGAGAGAGTGTGACTTACCCAAGGTCACCCAGTTTATTTACATGACCAAGAGAGGATTCAAACCCTGATCTCCAGAGTGCTAGTCCAATGCTCAAGCCACTATGCCACATTGGCTCTTTACAACCCATAGTGGCAGTCAAGTCCACTATTAAACAAGCTCTTACTGCCAAGATGGTCTTCCTAATGTTTAGGAATCTTTTTTCTTCTAATTTGAATCCATTGTTTTGTGTTCTAGTCTCTGGAACAGCAGAAAACAAGCTTGCCCCATCTTCTATATTACATCCTTTCAAATATTTAAAGATGATTATCATATCACTTCTCCATTCTCTCTTCTCCAGGCTAAATATACTAAGTTCCCTATGTTATTCCTTGAATCATGTTAATAATATTGTGATTGTTCTCATGGGGTACAAAAATATAAACCCAACAAATCCTTTTAAAAAGAACTGCTTTGATTTGTTTGTTTTATCCATGGGTACCATAACAGCATTATGATTCTTCCAGATAAAGCCATCTTGAGTAGCCCAAGGAAGGTCAATTGGAGGAAATGAGGGTTATATATTATATATGATATAATATTTATTTATATCCTACCTTTTTTTCCAGTCTGAGACTCAAGACAAATTACAAAAGTTAAAATAGATCAATTCTTTACTGCCATCAAGTAAACTTTGGCATGGAAACCTTATAAATGAGCCAGCATGTTATAGTGGTTTGAGTATTGGACTATGATTCTGGAGACCAGGGTTCAATTTCCCACTCAAGCATTAAAAACCCACTGGGTGACCTTGGACAGGTCACAGTCTTTCAGCCACAGAGGAAGGCATAGGCAAACAGCCTCTGAAGAAACTTGCCAAGAAAACTCTACAACAGTTTCGCTTCAGGGTCACCATGTGAAAAATGGCTTGGAAGCACACAAACAACAATTACAGTAATGAGAGATCTCCAAGTTATCCTGTCATCAAAAGTCCTGCTCAGGTCTTGGAGACTCAGGACCATGGCTATTTTGAATTTATCCATCTGTCTTCCTTTTTTCCTCCTGCTATGTCCCTGACTTGAGTCAAGAGTTTTCCTGTCTCCCAGCCTATTTTGGTATCATGGGTGGTTTACTCTTCTTTTTTATCTTTACTCTAATTTTTTATATTAGTGAGGTCTGTGTTACAATTTGTTCCTAGTCTCATTTTTGCAGAGAGAATGAGTTTCCCATTATGTAATCAATTTGATTTCTATATAATTATTTATTCTACTCTGCTCCCTACTTTTACATTCCAATCAACTATGATTAACAAGTCTTGTTTTGGTGTTTGATCAATTTCCTCCTGGACCTCAGCCTAGAATCTTCCAATTCCTTCTTCTTCTGCCTGTGTAGCTGGAGTATACACTTGGATTATGGTTATATTAATAGGTTTTCCCTGAAATCTTATTGATACGATTCAGTCAGACTTTACATTATATCCTTTGACTGCTTTTGCTACATTTCTCCTCACTATAAATGCCACCCCATTGTTTCTTAGATTTTCATTGACTGAGTTAAACACTGTGTAATTATGTGACTCAAAATGTACCATTCCTGCTCACTTTACCTCACTCACCCAAGAACTGTAATGTCTCTACATTCCAATTCTTATTTAGCTGTTTCTAGCTTCCCCTGGTTCATGCTTCTCACATTTCCTGTTCCTATAAAATGTGTTGTGCATCTTTGGACTTCTCTTTTGCCTGTGAGCATGTCAGCATCTGACTGTCCTTTTGGCTTGAGTCCAGTTGAATCACTGGCTTGAGTCCAGTTGAATCACTATTTGTAGTTGCCCTCCACTATCAGAGTCACATTTTATAGATTCCTCTGCCATGTTAAAGTTAGACCTGCTTAGCCATACTGTAGCCATGTTGAGTGCATGAGTATGTAAGAAGGGGGTGTACAGCTGTGGGGATTGTTGTGTATGAGCCAAGGCCATATAACTGCCTGGCATGCCATGGGAAATAAACATAGAAGGGGAGGAGGGAAGAAAATTTAAAATTAGAAGTGAAACTAGAGCCTTATTGCATGAAGGGAGGGAGCCAAAAGAAAGCCAGGGAGTAGTGGCTTTCTCCTTGCCTCTCTGCATGCCACTGAAGAACTTTCATTCTCTTCCCAAATGAGATGGTCATAAAAGTATATCTTTGTTGCACTGGAAAAATCCATTTGGCAAATGGTACACTTTTACAACCATCTCCCTCAGGAAGAACAGCAGTGCTACAACAGCATGTGGAGAGGCAAGGAGAAAACCACTTCTGTCAAGCTTCATTTCAGATTTCTTTTCTCACACAATAAATGCTCTTATCTTGTTAATTCAAATCTGGTAAATGTGCTGCTGTGCTGATCTTTCCAATGAACTCTTTCTGGTTTCATCCATGAAGTGCATTCATCAAAATAGATGGAGACAGGGCATTACATCTGCTCTACCCCAGTAGTTTGAGTGTGCCATCCAACCTAGGAATTTCATCTTCTGGCATTATCTCATTCCATTTTGGATTGCCTCATCATAGACTTTTCACAGTAAAAGACATTCAAAAGGGGTTTACTGTGCCTCCTTCTAAGCAGGACTAAGAAGAGTTAGCTATGGTGTCACTGCAATTGTCTCTGAGAGATCCTCCTCCAGTGTCACTCCCCACTACTTCTGCTACCCAGTAGCTGTTTAGCACATTTAGCCTGGCCCCTCAGCAAAAGCCTGTCTGACATGGGAGAACCAACAGCAACATTTCCTCTTGTCTCACAGAAGCACACAATCTCACTACTGTAAAAAAGTTTATAGTTTGATCATATTTTTAAGTTTTGTGTGATGTGAAATTTTAGCTGTACTGTAGACAGATACAGTACAGCTAAATAGATACTGTACAGCTAAAATAGATATGGTACAGATAAATGTTCATATCATACAAAGATTAAAATTTTTGCAGATGTCACAGAAAATCAGGGAGGCAAAGGGTCAAGTGGACAAAATAACATTTTATCTGAAAATGTGTTTCTAACCTTTGTTTTTTGGCCACCCTTCTTATGGGACAACAATGGCACTTTCTACTAATGATCAATCTTTGTTCCATCCAATTTTTCCAACCACAAGGCAACATCAGCTTGATGTTTGTTGATTTTAGTTGCATGCATGCCCTGCATTTTAAAAAAGGTTACATTGTTGTGTTATTTTGTATACAAGCACCTCTAAAATAGGGAGCATACTTCTCAAGTTTGCAAATGACACCAAATTAAGAGGAATAGCTAATACCCCAGAAGACATGATGAAAATTCAAAATGGCCTTAATAGATTAGAAAGCTGAGCCAAAGCTAACAAAATGAATTTCAACACAGAGAAATGTAAGTACTGCACTTAGGGCAAAAAAAATGAAATGCATAGATATAAGATGGGGGACACCTGGCTTAATGAGACTACATGTGAAAGGTTCTAGTCATGAGTCAACAGTAATGTGGCTGTTAAAAAGGCCAATGCAATTTTAGGCTGCATTAATAGAAGTATAGGATCTAGATCAAGGGAAGTAATAGTGCCACTGTATTCTGCATTGGTCAGGCCCCACCTGGAATACTGTGTCTAGTTCTGGGCACCACAATTCAAAAAGGATGTCAAAAAACTGGAGCATATCCAGAGGTGGGGTGACTAAAATGGTGAAGGGTCTGGAAACCATGCCCTATGAGAAATGACTTAGGGAACTGGGTATGTTTAGCCTGGAGAAGAGATGGTTAAGAGGGGATATAATAGTCCTGTTTAAATATCTGAAGGGATGTCATATTGAGGAGGGCGCTAGCTTGTTTTCTGCTGCTCCAGAAAATAGGACTCGGAACAACAGATGCAAGCTACAGGAAAAGAGATTCCATCTCAACATTAGGAGAACTTCCTCATAGTAAGAGCTTTTTGACAGTGGAGTCTCCGAGGGAGTCTCCTTCTTTGGAGGTCTTTAAAGAAAGGCTGGATTGCCATCTGATGGAAATGCTTTGATTTTGAGTTCCTGCATGGCAGAGGGGTTGGACTGGATGGCCCTTGTGGTCTCTTCCAACTCTATGATTCTATGAAAGTGCAACCAAATCACTTGCTCATTGTCTTCAATTTGGACCTCACAAACTATGTTCCTAAAGTCTATGTTCAGCCAGGAATGTAGATAGATATTTTTGGTCCCTGAATCTTGCTTTCTGTGATGGTTCTTCTAGTGTCACATTAAGTGTAAACACTCTTCTTAGAGGCTGGATCCACAGAGTTCATAAAATGTCATTTTCCTTTTTTTTTTTTTACTACTACTCCCAAAATTCTCACCCACACTGGATATACTGTCTGGTAAATTCTTGAAGTTGTAATCCAAAATAAATAAATAAATAAACTTTTGATGCCCTGAAAATAAACCGAGGTAAGACAAAGGCAAACCCTCTGTGAACAAATTTTGCCAAGAAAACCCCATAATAGGTTTGTCTTAGGGACATCATAAGTTGGAAATGACTTGAAGGCACACTACTACTATTATTAGAAGCCAGACCTGACAGTTTGTCTTCTATGTAACTTGTTAACATGCTGAAATTTGGGTTTTATTAAATTGCTGTTCCACTTGGGATGGTGAATTGCGAATAACCTAACCTCAACCTACACTATTTAATATTCTTAAATGAGCTAATATTAGAAACCAGCAATTAGATCTCTCCTTCATAATATCTTAAGATTCCAACACTCTATTATGTAGTAATGATGGCATCTAATGATTCACTGGTATATTTTAAGAGAAAATCTAGTCCTAAAAACACTGGAACAATTAGGCAATCATCTAAATTGACTTCCTTAGTGATCCTTTGGGGTTCCTCAGTGAGGAGAGTGTTCTCCAGAGGACTTCAGTGATGACGCAGCAAGCAATTGGATGGCACAGCAAGCAATGTTACCTCTGAGCTCCAGAAGCCAAAGAGGAGGTGATCTAGGATGCAAGACAAGAACATGCAATTTATAAGTAACAGAAAACATGACTCATTCTCTATTTTTGTAATGTCTACTCTTGGGGGTGAGAAACTTTTATGTCGCTAGGACAAATATTTATTACAGCCAACTACCATTTACTCAGTAATAAAAACAAAATAAAGCTCAGCACTTAGA